GAGTGGAGGAAATAAATCTAAAAGATGCATTAACCTTGGGGGCAGGAAACATATTACAATATGTGAAAGAAACAGGATTGAGCAAAAGAATTTAAGTCTCTGAAATGGAGAGCTCCTTTTTTTTGTTTTGTTTGTTTTTGTTTTATTTTATTTTGCTTAGTTTGTTTTTATTTTTTGGTTTAGTTTTGGTAAGGGGATAGGTTATCGGGTCCACACTCCAATTTAGTAGGTGGCGGTAATGCACCTTTCATTGGATGCCATCCGCCATAAAACAAAAAAGAAGAAGAAGGAGCAGAGGGGGGAAGAGTGTCTTCTCCTCGGGTGGAAGAAGATTAAGCCCAGTAAGTCGGCTAGCGGCCCGGCTGATTTAGTTTAGTTGTATAGTTAACTGATCGAGCTCTGGACTGAGTGACGTTTTCTGTTGTTTTGTGTTGGTTGAGGATTGTTTGATTAAAAACCCTTAAAAACCTGCAGAACTGACTCTGCCTGTGATTGCTGCACTGCCACTAATTTCTGTCCTCCGTACCTTCCTGTTACACCTTGTTAAAGAACCTCACATAAGCTAACAGCTGAGCATTATCAGACACATCAGTGGACTCATCTACAGCTAAGCTAACACAGGGTGCTTTATGAATATTTTCATCCAGGGCTAATATTTCAGTTCTCTTTGTGGCTGATGATGCTCACATAGGTATTTGCTTGATTTTTTTTGACATAACTCTTCTTTTTGCTTCCTCTCAAGTAAAGTTCCAGCTACCTCACTCATGCACTCCTTGACAACCTCTCCGTCAGTGAATTGCTTTTTATGTTGACCCAAAAGCCAAGCAACTTTAAGAGAACATTCGTTAGCACGTTGTTGGGCAGTGAATGAATGTGTTAATTCATTCACTGCCGTTATGAATGTTAATGTGAACGTTCATATTGGATTTTTAAATTGTTCATTTTCTGTGACCTCAGTTCAGATTGGAGTGGGAATTGTCACAACCCGCCTTTTAGGCTATGACAAATATTGAAAGGACACAAGGGATGATGGTAAAGTAAAAGTATTTATTATAACTAAATAAAGAAATAGTTACCATTGTGAAGTGTGTCAGTCAGTAACATCAGTAATGTAAACGTGAATGCATGTGTGATGAAGTGTGGGGTGTTGTCAGCGAAGAGCAACACTGAAGCAGGGCTTTTATGGAGCTCTAGGACCAGATGCTCTGCATCAAGTAATCTGCATTCCTGTGACTCCTTCAGGGACATAACCATCCTTGTTCAATTCTCTGATCAGTGGTTAAAGGCAAGGGCCGTCAAACCCCCCCCCTAAAGTCGGTGTCCCAAGGGATCACCGGCATAACACCAAGCCACCAGAGCAGCACTACTCAAACAGGAAAAAAGGACAGGTGAATAAGCAACACGACATGGCAATATATTAAGTTTGAATGTCACACAGGTGACTAATCAATGTAGAGGTGCGCGTGATAACGCATCAACAATAATGTCTGTTCCTTTAATGTGTTTAATGTCAAGGTTGTAAACCTGAATGAACAACGATCACCGTGTCAGCCTCTGGTTTGGGCATCTGATGGAATGCAAAAAAGTCAAAGGATTGTGATCTGTGTACACCAGAATCTGCCCACCTGTTCCTACATACACATCAAAATGTTGTAGGCCCAAAATAAGTGACAAAGCCTCCTTCTCGATAACAGAGTAATTTCTCCGGTAATTGTTCAACTTTTTTGAGAAAATTCTGACTGGCCTCACCAATCCCTTGTCGTCACCCAGTAGCAAGACGGCACCTGCTCCCACCTGGCTGGCATCTACTTGGAGCATGAACGCTCTATGAAAACAAGGAGCAGCTAGCACGGGAGAAGAGCATATCAGAGATTTCACATTATCAAAAGCTTTCTGACATTCGGACGACCAAGCAAATTTCACCTTGGCCTTGAGCAGTTCAGTGAGGGGAAACACAATAGTAGAAAAGTTTTTACAAAAACTCCTGTAGTAACCCACTAAACCCAAAAACCTTTGTAGTTCCTTCTTTGTCGTGGGTTGTGGATATCTGGCTATTGCCATAACCTTGGCCTGAACTGGGGCTACACGACCCTATCCCACCACACAACCGAGGTTTGTTGCTTTAGCCCTTGCAAAGGACACTACACAATTCATCAAACACTGAGATGTTGCGGGGGCATTCTTTAACCTGCAAGGCATCACTTTATGGGAGTAAAGACCCAACGGTGTGATAAACGCAGACATTTCCTGCGCCCGCTTTGACAAAGGAACTTGCCAATACCCTTTAAGCAAATCAGATTTGCCCAACCTGATCTATACAATCATCCATACGTGACAAAGGAAATTAATCAGATTTGTCACATTATTCTCTTTTCTCATGTCCGTGCAGAATCTAGGTGTTCCATCCTGCTTGGGCACCAAAATACACACAGCCTACACACCTTGACCTGACGGTCATGGATTACTCTGAAGTAACCGGCTCCTTCAGCAGTCTCAAACTTTGCAGAGTATGGCAGGGACACAACTCGGTCATTGAACTTGACTTTCATGTATCTCGTCCCGTCCACCACATCCGTACCCGGCCAATATCTTCTCTTAATGGGGGAGACGACTCTCACACCCCACCCAGCCAATTTTGCCATAATCATTCCATCGGTTGTATATATAGGGAGGTTCAGGAATGATACCACAAGTTCATCATTGTGCAGGTCTTTAGCAATCACGCTGTTTCCTTTTATTTTGAAACCATCCATTATCTTCTCCTTTGCACTGATTGTTCCCATTGTTACTTCATATATGTTAGAACTTAAAGTTCTGCATCCCACCACACTTCCACATGTTGCTTTTGTTTCTTCCAAAAACTCCATCACACTCACGTCTTCATCACCAATGATTTCCACACTCACTGTCAGGGTTATTCCATACTTGTTTTCTGTTCCTTTGTTCTGGTTCTCTGTTGTTTCAGGTCCTTTTTCAGCATCCATGTTGTCAGTCCGAAAAAATTAAAAAGCCAAAAAGTTACCCCAACAATCTAAATATTCCAAATATTTAACTCCCCCCCCAACAGCCTAAAGTCACTTTCTCTAAGCAGGGATCCAAAACTCAAAAAAAAAGATCAACTAAACCACCAAAACCTCAGTTTTTGAATTCCGAGCTGCACCTCATGCCAAACAAATTACCACTCTGTCTACTTCCTGAAAGGGCGTGTTCAGAGAGGTATGGCCGTAAGCGAAGAAACACCCTACCAACGGGCCCTTTAAAGACACTCTGCTCTTTTCTCCATCTATAGCACCTGCACATTGCCCGGAAAACAAGCAAACACTCTTGCTTTGGTGAAAAAACAATTGCCTTGATAACATACTTACATACTCTGTCAATTTTACATCAATACAGGCTATGTTATACAACTATTACTGGATTATTATCACTGATCCCCCCCACGTACCAAAGCAGCATAGAGTATAGAATGTTATGCATATATATCATAGTACAGTATGTCATCAAAATGTCCAAAAAGTCCCAGTAAATGTCATGAAATTAAAATGACAAAAACGACAAAAAGACAAGATCGGGAAGTAATTTCAAGTATAAAATGTCCAAAAAGTCCCAGTTTAATAAGTCATGAATACACAGAGAAGCGCTAGCAGCAAGACAGATGAGCCGTGAACTAAACGAGGTGTTGACCGATGCTATCAGCGTGGTCAATTTCATAAAAACAAGTCCCCTGAAAGCACGACTGTTTTCCGCACTCTGTGGGAGATGGAGCGGAACATTGAGCTGTGCTGCTTCACAGCGAAGCTCGGTGGCTCTCACGAGACGTGTTGTCGAGAGTCTTTGAGCTCAGAGAGGAAATTCAGGTGTTTCTGGATGAGGAGGGGCGTATGGATGAATTTGCAGCCAAGTTTTTCACTTTTTTTTTACAACGTTAAACATCCGTCCTATGTGACATATGTCATATTGTACACATATTATCCTGCAAAGAGGAGGTGGACTCAGTTTATCATTTATTTTATCTTTGTAACGTTACTCATGCATATACTTTTTAGAGTCAAATGTATAAATTTAATATGAATTATTCATTTGCAGGCAAGTTGGCTGATGAAGAATTTCTGATGAAACTGGCCTATCTCAGTGACATATTTGGAAAGCTGAATGAATTAAATCTTCATCTTCAAGGCAGAGACATCACCTTCCTCACCTGGCAGACTAGATCAGCGGTTCCACTCTGAAGCTGGAGATGGGGGTGGCGGCCACTTGATCAACGGAATATTGATTCCTTTGAGAATCTGAGTGAATTTGCTGAAACCAGTGATTTGGATGCCAGTGATTCCTTGTCTCAAAGAGCATATCTCTTCCATGAGAGGATACTTTGAGATGGGTGTGGAGGACCAGGTGAGGGGAATGAGAGATGATCGGGTGTGAATGGTAGGATCTGAAATGACAGGAGTTAGTAAAATAAGCAGACAGGATGAAAACAAACTAATATGTGTTTGTTTTGCACAGGTTGCACGTTATTGTTGTTTTGAAAAGATATGCAGTGTAAAACTCTTTATTGCCAAATATTTGAACTTGTTTTGTTTAGTTTTTCACAGGTTGCAGTTTATTGTTATTATCTTGAAAATATATTCAGTGCAAAACAGGTGAATTGCAGCCACAATAAGCCATATTTTGCCAGATATTAGTTATTTTTTTGCACAGATATAACTTTATTTGCATTGTTCTAACAAAGCAATTGCACATTGTATTTGTTTTGGACCATTTTGTTACAGTGTTGTTGGGGCGGTGGGGCATGAACACTTGTCTTCCTCCAAAGTGGGGCGTGACGGAAAAGGTTTGAGAACCGCTGCCTTAATAATTCCCGCCCAATAACCAGTAATCCATATGAGCAGCCAGCTTTGGCCGGCTGTAAAGTGACTATATTTTAATTTGAAAGGGCCGTCCGGAAGTTGTGACATGAGTTGCGTTGTGCTTAATGCCGCTTAAGTGGATGTTGCTGTTGATGGAAGAGAGCCGCCGCTGAAGGAACGGAGTGGATCTCTTCTAGCAGACAGGACCCTGCTAACGACCACACCGGACTGAGAGAGATGCTGTAGTCCACTCTGCTGCTCTCACCGGATAAAGAACACACTCGTGTCCACCGGCTGAGGAGAGGAGCCACAGCACCGCGGCAAACATGTACGTTGGTTCAAATGTTTCTTTTTCCCTTTCATATCCAACTGGCTGTTCGGACACATTGTTTCTCCCGCTGTATAAAACTTCTCGGGGTTAGAAAGAGTTCCCCTCTTCTTCCTGGTTGGGGGCTTAGTGTGAACCTTAGTCCGGGACATCTTCCCTAACTGTCTCGGTCTGCTGCAGTCCCGACCCGGTCTCTGCCGACCGGTGAGCCAGACCGTGTTCATACTTGACTTGTGCTGTAACGGTAGCAGCTGAAGCTTCAGTGTGTCGGTGTGAGTGAAATGTCCCCTAAAGACTCAGTGAGCGGTCCCCGCATGGAGGACATCTCGAGCTGAGCTTCTATGAACACAGTCATGTTAGCCGAAGACACCGCAGAGAGCTGTGGACCTCTTTAAGGCTGTGGTCGCGAGCGTTGTCACTCAGTATGTAGTGTTCACATTGGTAGTGAATATTTGTCAAATATAAAATGTGTCTGTGCACTTTCTGTTCATGTGCGCGTGCACGAGACAGTACCTGCGGTAAAGGACAGTGTCCGTGTTCTCACGACCAAAGCGTATGACTGTGTGTGCGTGTGAGAGTGTGTGTGTCTGTGCGTGTGTGTTGGAGCTGAAGTGTTAACAAAAGAGTTGTTGCATCTTTGAATAGTGTAATGAGAGATTGAGACACTATGAAATAAAAGTTAACGTTGCTTTTGTGTGTGTGTGTGGACCATTTATAAAAAATCTAATAAAGTAAAATAAATTCTGTTGGGTCACATTTATGTAAAAAAGACCATATTAAAACATTTGACACATGTCCCTGCTCATTCATTAATATGAATTGATAAACTAGGTGTACTCCTTCATCAAATAAATGGAATACAAAATACACAAAACATGTGACTCAAACTTTTAAATGAAATAGAAAAAAATAAACTACAATAAATATAATGAATAAACATGAAAGAACAGCAGATTGGCTTTTCATTTTCTACCTGGTGTCTTTAATGAAGTGAGGAATGTGACTGTCTGACCTCTCAGACCAGCTGTAGAGTTTGGTGTGTGTAAGAGCTGCTGAAGTGGAGATTTATCATCAGTCTGAGAACAAACTCATTGAGAGAAAACGTCCTTTTTTGTCAAATTCAATAAAGTGCATGCAAAGCAAAGTTTGTATTTACTGGGGTGTCTCGCTCTAAAGGGGACATCACTTCATTAAAAAGACTGTCTCAACAAAGTCACCACTGAAAACACAGACAGTGAATTTCATCATGCAACCTTTTTTAAATAAAATCATTTAAAAATAATCTGTTTCCAGCTTCTCAAACATGAGAATTTGACGCTTTTTATGTTTCAAATCATTGTAAATGGAATATTTTGGATTGTTGGTTCGTTAAAGTAAACAATTCATCCCTTTATACATACATAAACATCATTTTGTGACCAAATGAATCATTAGTGATTAGTTGATAATGAAAATAACTCTGCAACGGCCCTTCTG